TCTCCGCCAGCTGATTGAGGAACGGAGAGGGCTGGCCTGACCTAGCCTGGATGTGTGCCTCTTCACATGGTCACTGAATCCCACCTCCTCCAGGGTAGACTGATAGTCAAGGTGGGGGCCAGGTGGGGGGATGGGCACAGGCACCTCCTGTCCCCAGAAGGTGATCACAGGGCCCCAGGCCTGAGGCTGGCAAAGAGAAGCCGTGGAGGGTGCTTTCTTCCGGGGAGGCTGGCCCAGGGCCCAGCAGCGAGGTCCTGCAGTAAAACACGCATTGTCTGCTAAGGTTGAGGGGGAAGGGAAAGCAGGGCAAGGCAAAGCCTGAGACCAGGCACCATGTCAGCCAGTGCTTTGAGCATCCACCCCGAAGGAGATCGGTTGCCTTGAGCCGGGCACCCTCAGAGATGCCTAAAGGCAGTCGGTAGGAGGCAGACGGCCTTGCCTGCAGGCACTGGCTGGGTGAGGCGCATAGACGGCTGGGAAGAGCAGCTCACTGGCCAGCTCAGCCTACCCTGACCGCTCCTCGTCCTTTGCCAGGGAGGGATCCCTACACCAGACCCATGGGCTGCCAGTGGCCTGGACACTGCCCTCCAGAGGCCCCACCCACCTCCTCGGGTCTGAAGAATACTTGGAGGTTTCCCTCCAGAATGTACGTGTGTCCAGATGGCAGGGGCTGGGGTTATACCCAGTGCACCCTCTGGGTCAGGGGCGAGCTTTGTGATGCGCTCATGTATATGACATCAGTGATACGGGTCAGGGCAGGCGGGCTGTGACAGCCAGTGTCTACACAATTGATAACTGCTGCTGCGTGCCGCAGAGCAGGGACCTAGCTTATGGGCACATGTGTGGTTGCATGTTGTGAGGTTTTAACCCAGAGACAAGGAGACTAATTCCTGGCTCTGCATCTTGTTCATTCCAAAGCATGAGCCTGATGGACTGGTCAAGGCTGAATGGTTTTGTCTGAAGATCCCAAAATAGCTCCAGTAGCCTGAATCCCCCCGCAGCACCCCCCCCCTTTACTGGCCTAGGGCCTCAATGGCTCTTTGTCTCTTGAAGGCATCCCACTCCTACAAGGGACTCAGACACTGACTGGGCTTGCTGGGACCAGGCTGCTTATTCTCCCTGGCTGTGTTCTCTGCAGCCCTCACGTGAGCACTAAAAGCTCCGTCTGTGGGGGCCTCTTAAGCAGTAGATCCCGGGGGCTCTGCTTGGGGGATGCAATGTCGCAGGGCCCTGAAGCCTCTATTGCCAGCTCTGTGCATGGCTCAGGGCTCCCACCCCACCTTGGACCAAACCCCCTGGGTCTCACACTTCCTACAGAGTACACAGGAAGATCTCAGGAAAAACACCGGCAGGGACAAAATGCTGGCTTCCCATCCCAAGTCCGCAGTTGGCTTTCTCAGCTGTGAGCCAAGCCTTGCTCTAGAAGATAAAAGCTCACACCTACTCTGGGTGCTGAAGCAGCCAGTATCACAGGGACACTATCAGTGAGCTGTGGACAGTTCCAAGGTCCAGAGGGGAGTGGCTCCACTGGGCTCTGAGGAGAGAGCGAGACCGGCCCCAGGCGAGTATCGGGGCAGGTGATGGATTGCTACTCTGGACTCGGAAGGGTGGCGGCCCCACTTTATTTGCACGGTTTCACTAAATGGTAGATTTGGGACCACAAGAAATAGGGAGACCCAAAACACAGGTGATGCCACAGCGTGGATGTGGGGTAGAGGGCCAGGCCTGGGGGTTTGAATATCAAGCTGGTTTCTCTTCACTCCAAGTGCTTTTTTTTTTGGTCAGTTGTGGGGCTTGAAGTCTGGGCCAGGGCGCTGTCCTTGAGCCTCTTTGTGCTCAAGACTAGCACTCTACTTGGGCTACAACGCCACTTCTGGTTCTCAAATGGTTAATTGGAAATGAGTCTCACTGGGACTTTTTGTGTTTGTTTTTGTCAGTTGTGGGGCTTGAACTCTAGCCCTGGGCCCTTGTCCCTCAGCTCTTCAGCTCAAGGCGAGCACTCTACCACTTGAGTTATGGCGCCACTTCTGGTTTTCTGGTGGCTAATTGGAGATAAGAGTCTCATGACTTTCCTGCCTAGGCTGGCTTTGAATGGCGATCCTCAGATCTCAGCCTCCTGAGTAGCTAGGATTCCAGGGGTGAGCCACCGGCACCCATCTGAACACCTTTCTGGCATGAGACATCTGACCAATTTTGAGTTGGCCATTTCTATAAAATTGATTTTTTTTTTTTAAAGAAGAGTGGAGCAGAGGAGGTAGGTGGGTACTAAGTGCCAGGTGAGGCAGGGTAGGCTTTAGGAAGAACCTGCTTGACAAAAGGGGGGCTCCAGCTGTGTGCCTCTGGGATTGAGTGCTGGCGGGGAGAGCCCAGCTGGGACCATGTAGGAGTAGGGCCATTTCTGGCCCGTGTCTGTGACATCAGGGTCCTGGACAGAGGAACTCTGCCCAAGCCAGGTGCTCCAGGGAGGTGGGTGTGGTCAGTGCTGCTTTCTCAAGATGACTGAGAGGAGGTCTGAGAGAGACCACTGGGTGGCACTGGTGGTCAAGGCCATAACAGTTTGGCAGCTCATAGACACAGCCTGGTGGTAGGGTGTGGGTGTGCCTGGTTGGTGTAGCCCGAGGTATGGCGTGGTGGGGATTCAGGGAGGGTTGGGCGAGTGTGCCGTTCACGTCATTGCAGTGGGTGCCCGCTTGAGAGGGTCCCCGGTCCTGGCGGGGCGTAGGCTAGCCAAGAGGCCTCTGCAGGGAGGACTTGCTGTTCCCTTGGAGGAGGGCACATGCTAGGGTGTGCGCAGCTTGGGTGCCAGCAGATGGATGTGCCAGGAAGGGGTAGTGGAAGCAGTGCAGAGTCCTGTATGGGGCTTTGCCAACCCACAGTACACACCGGTTTACCGGGAGCTGGAGCCTTTGTATGGAAGCTGGGAAAAGGCTGACCTCATGGAAAAGTTGTGCCCAGCTACGTCATGCTGGGGGTTCCAGGCATGCCCTCTGCCTGGGTAGCTGTTCTGGAGTTCTCAGGATGGCACTCGACTACTAAGGAGGGGTGGCCAAAGCAGTTGCTGGACCCAAACCCTTATCTCAGGATCTAAGAACCCCCATCCACACCAGGTAGAACTAACAGGAGCATAAACCCTGGCAAACAGGCATGGATGACGTGCCAGCACACACACCCACCCCAGGATTGAGTCCCCGAACAGGCCCACATCTCCAGTGGTGACCACAGAGTCTCACAGCCAGCCTGCAGCAGGGGGAAGGGCCTGCCCAGCCTTGGACCACACCACCTGCAGGCTCCCTGGTCCCTGCCCAAGCATGGGCTTTTCCTTAGCCCCACCCCTTCCTTTTGCTGATATCCTACCTGGCGCCTCTGTCCTGTAATCCTGTAATACTGTCACCTCCCCAACTCCTGTCCTTAGCCAATCATTTCCTTAGCCCCTTTCTAAAACCGTCGCCCCTTCCCTCCACCCTGCCTCCTGCTGTCCACCCCTCCTAACCCTACCCCTCCCTCGGCTCTGCTCTCTTCTCCAAATGTCTTCCCTCTCTCCCCCCCACCCCCTCCTAGCTGTGCTCCTTGGTTGCTTTTGTACTGTTCACATCCTACTCATGGCTTTAGCCTCACCCACCGGTTCCTCCGTGCGCGGAGCGAGCTGCGACTCCCCCACGGAACGGGGGGTCCCCTGAGGCACTTCCTTTGTCTCTGCTCCCGCCCTCCCTCCGCGGCGCAGGGGGCGCCCCTGCCCCTCACTCACCGCTGGAGCTGACTCGGGTGAGGCGAGCTGTGCTGTGGCCAGAGGAAACCTCGGTGGCCTACTCCTTTATTCTCTCCAACGCGGTTGCTCCTCCTGCCGCTGCTGCCTTGCTCCCGCCTCTGCCAGGCGCAGACCAGGCCCCTGCCGTGCCGTGCCGTGCCGTGCAGCGCCGCCACCCGTACCCACATCTCCCTGCCTCTTCAGCCGCCCAGGCTCCCTCGGGCTCCGGAGCACAGCATCAGAAGACAGCGCCGGCTGGCGGACGGAAGGAAGGGTTTCGGCCAGCGGGGGTGGCTGTGGCCCTCTGTCTTCTGCCTGCCTCCGAGCCCACGCCGGGATCCCACCTCAGGAGAACCCTGCTTACCTCATTATGAGCCGGGAGGGCCAGGGAGGGCCAGCAGCTCCCAGGCGGCGGCTGGCTGAACTTTGAGGCACAGTGGCTGTCTGTCTGCTCTCCCAGAGGACCCGGCATGGGGGGAGTGGCCCCGAAGAGGCCTAAGGGTGCTCCTTAAGGACCCTCACACCCTGAGAGCGGGGGCTGGCCATGCCCCGGCTGCCACTGGAGCGTCGCCCTGGGCAACAGCCCGGGGCCTCCCTGCTGGTTCGGTACTTCATGATCCCCTGCAACATCTGCCTGATTCTGCTGGCTACAACCACGCTGGGCTTCGCAGTGCTGCTCTTCCTCAACAACTGTAGGTGGCCACGGGGTGTGGCCCAGGTGGCCCTGCTGCTGGCCAGGCCTTCCATCTTGGCTGCCAAGGGTTGTGGAGCATGTGGGGTCACAGCAATGCCAGGAGCCATCACATCGCCCCGACGGGCAATCTCTCTCTCTCTGGGGACTGGGTGGTTCCTCGCAACCCCCAAGTCCCTTGAGGCCCGTCCCTGGGCCCGTGGGGCTGACCCCCATCTCAAGCTGCATAAACAGCTTTAGGAGATGGGAGGGGGATGTGTACACTGGATGCCTGGGGGTTGGTGTCAGGGACAAAGCCTGCTTCACTAGGTAAGCTTGGCTCCGCCCCCCCCCAGGGCTCTGACAGGTACCTGGCAGCTAGAGGGTCAGAGCACAGGCCTCTGTCTTTGTTCTGCTCTCGGCTTTAGCTAGTCCCTAGGTCTCGAGGATGGCGTCTTGGGTTTCCCGGTCTCCCCAGCCTGGATCTCTGTGACTGGAGTGGGAGGAGGTATGGATGGACAGAGCACTGGACGCGCAAGGCTGTGGTCAGGAGGGCCTCACTTGCAGTTTTGTTCTGTTTTTCAGACAAACCCGGGACCCACTTCACGCCCGTGCCTCCAGCACCTCCTGATGGTGAGTGAGGGGGGCCATGTGGATGGGCAGTTACGGTTGGAGATTTTCTGAAGTGCGTTCATGGTGCACTTTTAGAGGGAGGAGGCTCAACACGGGACCCTCAGTCCTTTCTGAGGAGTCCGTGGGGGTCTTGGGTACTAGCACCCAAACGGGACTTTAAATTCACTGGGCCTCAGCCTCACAATTAGGAGCCAGACCCGGAACCTGGAAGTTGTGGGATGATGTCGGGCAGTACGAGGGAGGCGGGCTCTGGCATGGAGGCTTGCGATGGGTTGCCTCCTCTTTGTCCTTCCTTTTCCCGTTTAGGGTAGGGTGGGGCTGCGGTAGAAGAACAGAGGGGACACGGGCTAGAGGGGGAGGGCCTCTGCGTGGCCAGTGACAGCTGTCTGAGGGAGAGGTCCGGAAAGCCTGGGTCTGCCCCTAGGACTGAGCAGGCTACGGTGGGGAAGATGACCTCTTCTGATTGCTTTGTGGGATGGGGCAAGACCGCCCAGCTGTGCTGCTGGGCGTGTGCCTCTGTAATTAAGCTAATGTCAGAGCGGAGAGGTGGCCGTAGGGTTGCAGGGAAACAAGGGAAGGAGTGGTCTGGGACTCCCCTCGCCCAGCCTGGACAGCAGTTTCCAGCTTCACTCCTCACAAGCTCCTCTGGGTAGGTGCATGTCCAGGTTCACAGAAGTCGCGTGTGAGAGCTGTCCTGTGCAGGGCAGGGCCAGGACATGTGGGTTGGATGTTGGAGTCCTGGGTTCTTCAGGAAGCACCTCTGCGTTGCATAGTTGGTCTGAGTCACGTCCTGGGTCTTGAGTGGAGCGCAATGGCTGGACGAGGAGGCTGAGCACTGGCAGGACCCTGTGCTAGGAGGTTAGAGCAGGGGAGTGGCACCCCGGGAGCCTCAGCAGGCTGAGAAGCTAAGTGGAGGTTTTCTCTAGGAGTGGGGAGCTTGGGCACCAGAGGCAGACGCTAGATTCAGGGGTACAGGGTGGGCTTCTCATGTCCTTTGGCAGCAGCCATCTTGGTACCATCTGGCAAGGGTCATCTATAGGCAATCATCTTTTATTCCTTGGGATCGGAGAACTAGCAAGCTGGCAGTATGCGTCCTGACATACTTGGCCACACAGCTCTCTTCTTCCGAGGATATCGGGCAGTGTGGCATGGCAAGGCTGGGATGGTAAAAACAGTGGCTAGTGGGTCTGTGGGGGTGGGGGGTAATGTCCCCAAGAGCAACCGTTTCTAGGTTGCCTACACAAGACCACAAAGGCTCCACAGAGCACCAGGCCTGGCCTGGGTCATGGGGAGAGAGGCCTTGGGCCCTAAGGGGCCTCTGCCCACAAAATTGCTGCCATTATATTCTGCTGAGACACAGGAGCCCTTCGAGCATCACTGTGCTGTGTGCCGCCTGCGCAGGGCCTGGGGACCAGTGGGGATTAGATGGGTGAGTGGTCACCTCCCTGTCCTTCCTGGGCTGGGGGACAGGAGGGTGTGACCCAGACAAGTCCCTGATATAGTACACAAAGAGACTCAGTCCTGAGTGGGATGGGGCTGAGGCCGGGCATGTTCACAGCTCATGGGCACCAGGCCTGAGGCTGCGGAGACTCATTCAGGTTGGGCGCACCCCATGGACACATCCATGGTCCCTGCACACTCGGGTATTCACACCCAAGGCCCCTGCACACTCGGGCACTCACATCCATGGCCCCTGCACACTCGGACATTCACACCCAAGGCCCCTGCACACTCGGACATTCACATCCATGGTCCCTGCACACTCGGGCACTCACATCCATGGCCCCCGCACACTCGGGCACTCACATCCATGGCCCCTGCACACTCGGGCATTCACATCCATGGCCCCTGCACAGTCGGGTATTCACACCCATGGCCCCTGCACACTCGGACATTCACACCCAAGGCCCCTGCACACTCGGGCATTCACATCCATGGCCCCTGCACAGTCGGGCACTCACATCCATGGCCACTGCACACTCGGGCATTCACATCCCATGTATGTGGACGTAGAAGGGCTCATGACATCTGCTCCATCCTCCAACCCACTAGAGGCAGGGAGAGAGGTTAGACCCACGGCCACATTTGTGCTGTAAAAAGCCCCTCTGCCTCCCACAGTGCATGGAGAGATTGCCCGGGCAGGAGGTTGGCAGTCAGGGAGAGGCTCCCCAGGGGGAGTGGGTTCCTCCATTACGAGAGTAGTAGGCAGTGACCGGGAGCACGGGCAAAGTCTGGCACCGACGTTGCTGTTTTATCACTATGGCTTTGAAGACCCTGTGCTCCCCTCTGTATCCCTACAGCCCCTCCTCACAACAGGGCACAGCTCTCCTTGGGCCTCTGTGAGATTGGAATGGGCGTACACCAGTCTGCAGGTGGTCTTGGATTGTAGCTGTTCTGCTCGGTCAAATTTGTCTTGAGCTTCTTACGGTCTCCTAGCCCAAGAGGGAGGAGAGGTACAGAAACAGGCTGTGTTGAAGTATCAATGGGCTGTACATGAGCGACCTCTTAGTCACCTTAATGGACTCTGGGTTCATTGAGAGGAAGAGGTAGGGCTTCCTGGAGATGGTGATTCCAGTCTTGGGGGGCGGGGGTGGTGCATGTGCACATGACAGAATTTAGGGTTGAATTCAGTGTCTGTCCTGTTGCTTACCTTTTTTGTTCAAATCTGGCATTCTATTGCTTGTGTAGCAGCTCTACTTCTGGATTTTTGGTGGTTACTTGGAGATGAATCTGAATCTCATGAACTTTTCTTTCCCAGGTTCTTTGAACTGGGATCCTTAGATCTCTGCCTCCTCAGTAATTAGAATTATAGGTGTGAGCCACTAGTACCCATCTACCAATCTGACTTGTTTTGGGAGAGAGGTCTGAAACCAGAACTTGAGCTTGTCACCTGATGCTTTTGCTCATTGGCTACTGTGGTATCAACTGAGCCACACCTCTAGCCCACATGCATGCCCCCGGCCCCTGAGTTTTTGTTTTTGTTTTTTTTTGTCGGTCGTGGGGCTTGAACTCTGGGCTTGGGCACTGTCCTGGGCTCTTCAGCTCAAGGCGAGCACTCTACCGCTTGAGCCACAGAGCCACTTCTGGTTTTCTAGTGGTTTATTAGAGATAAGAGTCTTACAGACTTTCCTGCCTGGGCTGGCTTTGAACCATGATCCTCAGATTTCAGCCTCCTAGGTAGCTAGGATGACAGGTGTGAGCCACCGGCGCCCAGCTGAGAAGTTCTTTTGTCCAGACCAGAGATGTCAGTTGGGATTTGTGCTGGGGTGTGGAACAAGGTGATGAGGAACAACTGTCTTTGGCTGTGGGGTCAGAACCTCGGGGAGAGGTCTGGCCAGGCCCGGGCCACCCGATGGAAGGAGTGAGCCCAAGAGACACAGATGTGCAGCACCGGTTCCCCCACTGCTAGGACAGGGAGATGGTTGGGTTCTTGGCCCTGGAATTGGACCCTCAGGGGAGATCTTGTTCAGAAAGTCTAGCTGAGGACCTGAAGTATAGAATTTGGCCTGGGAGTCCCAAGGACCTTGGGCAACGAGGGCCAAGTGTAAGGGAGGAACTGGAGAGAGAGATGAGGAGGAGGAGATGGGAAGGAGGTCATGGCTTGGGTGACTTGAGTTTGGTTTCAGCTGGGACAGAGGATGCTGCTGGTACATGTCACAGCACAACTCTGCATAGCTCGTGTGCATTTCACAGGAGCCCTGGGAAGTCGGCCCAGTGTCCCCAGTCACAGAAACTGAGGCACAGGGAGGGACCCCGCCTCCAGGATCTGAGGGGCACTGTGCGGGGGTAGGTTCAAGAGGGCAGACACTCAGACACTGGCAGAAACAGATGAGGGAGGCTGGGGGGACTGTGGCTGTGGCTCCAGCCGACACGCCTTTCACTCACTGAAGATGGGAAGGGTTCTTCTGCTTTATTTCCAAGCACTCTAGGTGATGAGGGCCTCACCCCCACCATGACTTATTAATAATAGTTGCTCCCAATTAAACATTTATTAGATCCAGACAGCTGCAGCCCTTAAGAAGCCTACTTTGCCCACACTGTGCTCAGCGAGCGACCCCAGGGACTGGCCATAACAGCACTGGTCATGTACATCCTTCATTCTTACACTTGGTAGGCAATTGCAGGCTCCTCCCTGAGCCGGCTATGATTTGCTAGAGCAGACCATGACAAGGCGTGTGTGTTGGACATGGCTCTGCTGGGAACTAGAATGTTAGATGATGAGATAACTGGCCAGTGTGTGAAGCTGACTCTGGGGCAGCCTCGTAGTGTGTGGCCGAGGGCTCAGGTGAAGGCATTTCCTGAGGGGGAGGCTCAGGAGGACAGAGGGAGGTGCCCGAGGGACCCAAGGGAGAGATGCCACCATCAGCTTGAGCCTGGGAAGGCTGGGACGGGTGGGCACTCGGGTGGCTGGCTGTGGGAGCCACGGGAGGAGGAGGGTCCCCGAGTGTGGGGGACAGGAGAGACAGCTCGAGGGCAGGTCTGGGGAGTGTGCTTCTGAGTGGAGGCTGACTGGGAAGGAAGGCTGGACGCGGGAAGAAAGGGAAAGGGCAGGGCTCTGGGCTGCTAGGCCAGCAGGAAGAAGTCTGAGCCTGAGGGTGAAGGTGCTCTCTGGCTCTGCTTAGAGGACCAGAGACACAGAGGCAGCTGTGAGGAAAAAGCCCTGCGGTCACTGCCTGGGGTGGGTGGATCTGGTGAGAGAGGCTCTGGGGCTAATGTGGGTTCTCTCTCGGTGTCTCTGGGGCCCACTGAAGTGGGCCACAAGTCGATTTCCTGTGGATGGGGAGGGAGAGGAGGGAAGGGCCCTGGCTGGTGGGGCCCTTACAGGGACAGGAATGAAGAGGACAAGGCCCTGTGAGTGTGGACACAGGCAGTGGTGGGCACATGTGGCTGTGTGTGAACTTGAACAAGTGTGAACACGTGTGTGTGTGTGTGCACACGCACCGTGGGGTTTAGTGACTGCTTGCCTTTCAGGGCTCTACCATGGCTGCCTGTGTCCTGGCCCCCTAGAAAGTGGACTCTTGGGGGCTGGGAAGGCGGCTCAGTGGTAGCACTCGCCTGGAGCTGAAGAGCACAGGGGCAGCGCCCAGGCCCAGAGTTCAGGCCCCATGACTGACGAAAAAAAAAAAAAAAGTGCACTCTGAGCTCCAGTCCCTCCTCACGTTTAACTCCAGTGTGCAGGGGAATGCTGTGTGGCTTTGGGGCCGTGTGCGAGCCCAGTGAGGAAGATCCAGGCCGAGCCTCCTGCGTGTGCAAGAAGAGTCCCTGCCCCCTGGTCGTGGCGCCTGTGTGTGGCTCGGACGCCTCGACCTACAGCAACGAGTGTGAGCTGCAGCGTGCGCAGTGCAGGCAGCAGCGGCGCATCCGCCTGCTCCGCCGCGGGCCCTGTGGTGAGTGCCGGGCGCGGGCAGCCCGGCCTGCTGCGCGGGCAGGGTGGGCGGCCCGCGTGACCCGACTCTGCCCCTCGCAGGGTCTCCGGATCCCTGTGCCAATGTGACCTGCAGCTTCGGCAGCACCTGTGCACGCTCACCGGACGGGCGGAGCGCCTCGTGTGTATGCCCCACGACGTGCCCCGGGGCCCCCGAGGGCACGGTGTGCGGAAGCGATGGCGTTAACTACCCCAGTGAGTGCCAGCTGCTACGCCATGCCTGCACCCGCCAGGAACACATCTTCAGGAAGTTCAACGGCCCCTGTGGTAAGTGCTGCCCTCTTCAGGACGCCTCCCTAGGTCACTCCTACAAGCACGGTGACACCTCCTGACTCACCTTCCCGGTCAGACCCCTGCCAGGGTACGCCAGCCGACCCGAGCCGCCTCTGCCGCGTAGACCCTCACACGCGGCGCCCGCAGATGCTCCTGCGGCCAGAGAGCTGCCCTTCCCAGCAGGCGCCCGTGTGTGGGGATGATGGGGTCACCTACGAAAACGACTGTGTCATGGACCGCACCTCCGCTGCCCGAGGCCTGCTCGTCCAGAAGGTGCACTCCGGCCGGTGCCAGCCTCGAGGTGCGCGGCCCCGGGGAGGGTGATGATTCTGCCATGAGATGACCCACGAGGCCCCACAGTGCCTTCCCTGCCGTGTGCCGTGTGCCGTGCCTGCCCTCCCTGTGTGCCGTGTCAGCCCCTGCCCTCCCCGTGTACCGTGTACCGTGCCTGCCCTCCCCTGTGTGCCGTGTCAGCACCTGCCCTCCCCCCCGTGTGCCGTGTCAGCGCCTGCCCTCCCCGTGTGCCATGTCCACACCCTCCCCCCTGTGTACCGTGTCAGCGCCTGCCCTCCCCGTGTGCCATGTCCACACCCTCCCCCCCGTGTGCAGTGTCCACGCCTACCCTCCCCCACCCCGTGTGCTGTGCACACTGACTCGTGGCCTCAGTCGGGTCCCGTGCCCAGGGTGGTGGCTGGAAGGGTGCCTGTCCTCTCTGACCCCCTTGCCTCCCCCAGACCAGTGTGTGGAGGCCTGCCGGTTCGGTGCCGTGTGCCTGTCGCACCGAGGGCGTGCCCGTTGCTCCTGCGACCGGGTCACCTGTGACGGGGCCTATCGGCCTGTGTGCGCCCAGGACGGGCGCACCTACGACAATGACTGCTGGCGCCAGCAGGCCGAGTGCCGGCAGCAGCGCGCCATCCCCGCCAAGCACCGGGGCCCCTGTGGTGAGCACCCCAGGCCCACGCCGGGAGCGGCTGGTCCGCGTCAGCCTTGCCGCCATCATACACCATCTTCATCCCTCACGACGTGCTCCTGGGGTTCTCCCTGGGGCGGGGGGCTGTGGGGGAGATGTGCGCAGAGGCGGGCCTGCACTTGACCACGCTCCCCTGCAGGTCCTCTGCTCTACCTGTTCTGTATGGCGTGGGGCGCAGTAACCTGGGTGGGCAGAAACAGACATGGCTTTGGGGGTTCCTTGCTCTTGAGACACACCCCGCCCCCGGCCCCCTTAGGGGTGGAGTTTCAGTTGGGAGCTGAAAGGCCAGTGGAAGATGGAGGAAGCTGGCTGGTGGGTCCTGTGGAGGCCGCTGCCACTATACTAGTCCTGCCTGCCTCTGTGTCCGTCTTGATCGGTCCTGTCCGTCTTTCTGGTTTTCCTTTCTGTCTGTCTCTTCTCGGTCTTTCTTCCTTCTTGGCCCCGCCTCTTGTGTCTTCCAGCCTGACCTGCTGGCAGGATGAGGTGCCGCGCCCGTCTGCCGGGAGACCACGGCCCGAGGTCTGCCCCTGGCGTGGCCGGTGGGGGGTGGCTCGCTGCTACCTGGCCTGTGGTCCTCAGAGCAAGTGGACAGACACCTCTTCCCCACTGCAGTCTTGGGTGTGACTCTGGGATGCAGTGTCCCCCAACCCGTGGAGAGAGAGCCCCCACTACGTGTCGGGGTATCCTGGGGTCGCGGGCCGGCAGGGCCAGCGGTGGGCCTGACGCCTCCTGTGTCCCATCCGCCTCTGCCATGTGTCTGTCCCTTTCTCTGCTGTGTCCTCGCATCCGCCTCTTCCTCTGTCATCCCAACCCAGAGCAGGGCTGCCGCGGGAGGGGAAGCTGGGGCCCGAGCCTCCGGGCTGAGGGCCACCCTTCCTCAGCCCAGGCCCCGTCCCCGTGCCGTGGGGTGCAGTGTGCGTTCGGGGCGACGTGTACGGTGAAGAATGGGGAAGCCGTGTGCGAGTGCCAGCAGGCGTGCTCAGGCGTCTACGACCCTGTGTGTGGCAGTGACGGCGTCACCTACGGCAGCGCGTGCGAGCTGGGGGCCATGGCCTGCGCCCTCGGGCGGGAGATCCGGGTGGTCCGCAGAGGACCCTGTGGTCAGTAGCGGGCGAGCGGGTCTGGGGTGGGGGGCTTCTGGCCGACGTGGTGACGGAGCCCTCTCCCCAGACCGATGTGGGCAGTGCCGCTTCGGAGCTCTCTGCGAGGTGGAGACTGGGCGCTGTGTGTGCCCCTCTGAGTGTGTGGCCTCGGCCCAACCCGTGTGCGGCTCGGATGGGCGCACGTACGCCAGCGAGTGTGAGCTGCACGTCCACGCCTGTACACACCAGATCAGTCTCCACGTGGCCTCTGTCGGGCACTGCCGTGAGTGAGGCCCCGGGCTGGGCAGGCGGGCGTCCCGTGAGTTCTCTGGCCAGATCTGCTGACCCCGGCTTCAACCCATCTCCTGCAGAGACCTGTGGAAACACCGTGTGTGCCTTTGGGGCAGTGTGCTCCTCTGGACAGTGTGTGTGTCCTCGGTGCGAGCACCCCCCCCCTGGCCCTGTGTGCGGCAGTGACGGCGTCACCTACGGCAGTACGTGTGAACTACAGGAAGCCGCCTGCCGGCAGCAGATGCACCTCGAGGAGGCCCGGCCGGGGCCGTGCGAGCAGCGTGGGTGCGGGCGGTCCGGGGGAGCTGCGGGGCAGCAGCCCCGATGGAGGCCCGTGGGTGATGCGGCTCTCCCCCACAGCGGAGTGTGGCTCGGGAGGCTCCGGCTCGGGAGAGGACGGCGAGTGTGAGCAGGAGCTCTGCCGGCAGCGCGGTGGCGTCTGGGACGAGGACTCGGAGGACGGGCCCTGCGTCTGTGACTTCAGCTGCCAGGGTGTCCTGAGGAGCCCGGTGAGCCCCCTGGTTCCGGGGGTGGCGAGGGAGGGGGCTGGGGCTGCGCTCACCCACACCGCCCCTCTAGGTCTGTGGCTCAGATGGTGTTACCTACGGCACAGAGTGTGACCTGAAGAAGGCCAGGTGTGAGTCACAGCGAGAGCTGTATGTGGTCGGACAAGGGGCCTGCCGCAGTAAGTGAGCACCGCACCGCACCGCACGGCACCACCGCACACTGCACCGCACACTGCACCGTACCACCACACAACACACTGCATCACACCGCACCGCACCACACTGCATCACACCACACACACTGCATCACACCACACACACTGCACCACACCACACCACATCACACAGTGCACCACACTGCATCACAACACACTGCACCACACCACACCACACCACACACCACACACTGCATCGCACCACCACACACCACACCACACCACACAGTGCACCGCACCACCACACACTGCATCACACCACACACTGCATCACACCACACACTGCACCACACCACACACTGCACCACACACCACACACTGCACCACACCACACACTGCACCACACACCACACACTGCA